TCTATGTACATTGGATAGAAAATTTAGGATGCATTATTAAAGTAATAGAAACATTAATAAATACATAGGTGACAAATACTTGGGGTGCACTTTTAAGGTGCAACAAAATTTGTGTCAACTGGCATTAGACGTCTATTTGGAAAAGTTTTAATGCCCGTTTCTCCGCTGATGGATTTTGTCCTCGTGGGAAACAGTTGTCAACTCTTATTTTTTATTTTTTTTCATTTTATATTATAAAAACAAAAATATCTTTATAATTTATTTTTATTTGGTTTTTATTTAAAAAAATATGAAATAATTATGTTAATTTAATGTAATAAATAAATTTTATCATATCATAAATTATTAATAAATATAATTTATTATTATATTTTGAATTAATAAATGTATCAATTTTATTATTATATAATAAACTATTATTTTTATTTTTTTTATTATATATTAACAAAATTATTATTTTAATAAAAATAATTTTATAATTTTATAAAATTTAAATAATTTAAAATTTTAATTATATACAAAATTTAATCTAATGTTTTAAATGATCATTTTTCTTCTTACCATAATTCATTTCATCTACTACTGTGTTTGCACCGAAACATATTTCTTATCATTAATTTTAATTTTACTGTTATAGTAATTAATTTCATCTCCACTATTAATTTTAATCTCATTGAAGGCAATCTCGTTATCCATCCAAATAGACCTCTAAATGGAAGTAAAATGAAATGAGTTAATGTTATGAATGAATTATAATTTATAGTGAAATGTTAAATATGATAATTGAATTTTAAAAATTTGATAAATGAATTATTAGTTTGTTAAATAATGTAACACTAATTTCTAACATAAATAACTTCAAACAACATCACATGACAAAAAATAACTCTATAAATATCATATTAAAAGTTTTTTAAATTTAAATACCAAATCAAATAAATTATAATTTAAGCATCATTTGGAAAACAAAACCTAGAATGTCAAATTTCATTTGATTGTTTTTACTACTTGTTTATTTGGTCAATAAATTTGGAAAAATACTAGTAGCTCAAGTAGTTCAAGTGATTGTTAGGTATTCTCTTGTTCAAAAAAAAAAAAAAAGATTTGATTGTTTTTTTCCTTTAAAAAAGGGGCAAACAAGAAAAAGTATAATTCGTTACTTATTTTAATTTTTTTTTATTTTTGGAAACAAAAAGTAAAATGGGTAGTTAAATTACAAAATTAAATTATGAATTTTTTAAAAAATTAAAAGTCTAATATTCATGCAAAATAAAAATTATGCTTTTATGTTGCTTTCAAATATTTATATTTATATTATATATTTACTCATTAACTTTAATGCAATGTGATTTTACTTTTTGTAATTAAAAACAAAGCTTCAAGATTAATGGGAAAAAATATGGGTAAATGATAATTGAGAAATTATCACATCTACTCATCCTGTGGATTTTAGATTCTATTATAAGATTAGCATGAAACTACCATTAAGATGTAGTAAAAAAATAAAAAAATAATTATAAAAAGAGTTAATATTTGATGCATTGATAGTATACTAGACTTGTTAAAGGTTGGGTTATTTGTCCATACTCGAAAACTCATCAAAGTTTTTGAGAGAGTTTGGATAAAAAATTTGAGTTCCGTTAAATAAGCTAGGACAAAATTTTTTTGTCCAAGGCTCAATCCGAATAAAATATATAATTAAATATTATAATTATATAAGTATATATGTGTGTATTTTTATTTTAATATTTTACTTTTTAAAAACAAGGATTCTTTATTTTATTAATTTTTTATTATATAAATTAAATTTAATGGATGGATTTGAAACTTATTTTTTCAACTTGAGCTTGATTTGAAAAAATTTTGAAGATCAAAATATCAAGTGTTAGGTTTATATAAATTATTAATATCAAATATGGCCCCAACCTAACTCATGAATAACTTTATAGTGTATAAGCATTATATACTATCAATAAATTTTATAGTGACATCTTATTAACAAGTAAAAGTAAAAGTAGTCAAATCTTTAAAAAATGAATATTAATAAATTTATTTAATTTTAATTAATTACTAAAATTAAGTTATTTTTAAGGACATGATTACCTTTAGTTTTACTTAACGAGATGTAACCATAAGACTAATTAATAGTATATAATATTGATATACGATTAGTAAATCAAATATTAAGTCTTATAAAAATAAAATATACGATAATTTATTAATTTTGCTTGTAAAATTAAAATAATTAAACCATAAGTGTGTTAAAACGACCTTACAATAATTATCATTTCTTCATTTGTAGGACCTGCTGGTTTTGTGTTTTATCTCAACCTAAATGTCGATTGATTAATTGTTGAACGGAGGCATGTTAGCATGTCAGCCCCAAAGAAAAAATATGAGATTGCGGTATGTAAATGGTCCTTACCTCCCCAAACATAGCACTCCTTTTCTTTTTCCTTTTTTTTTTTTTTTTTTGCAAAGAAAAAGCATTTACTTTCTCCAACCACTATCCCCCCACACCCACCTCCACATCCATATAAGTTCTTCCTTTTGGCTTCTGGCTTCTGCCAAACATGATCCCCATTATGTTGTATAATAATATATAATAATAAAATTGAAAAACACCCCCATAAAATGATTGCTTTCTTGAACTAAAATAAAAAATCAAAATCCACCCAAAAAAAATTGAAATGGAAACCTTTGTTTTCTCTCTCTCAATCATCTTTTTGTGCTTTGAAACTTGCATATGGGGTGGTAAGCCAAAATGAAGTTTATGATTCCTTATTATATACATTTATTGTCAATTAGGGTTTTCTCTAAACAAGGGAATGATCAAATTAATTAATAAATAATAGTCTTGCTTTACCTTAGAGAAAAGTCTTCAAAAGGAAAAGGGTTTTAGCAAATTAAAGCTTTATTTGATAGTAAAGATATAAATATATAAGGATGAAAATTGTGTTAATTATAATCATTAAAATTCATAATAATTTTCTTATTTTTTACTTCGATCATTAAATTTATAAATTTTTTACTCCCGTCTCTTTCTACCATTTTTATTAAGCAAAACAAGAATAGAAGTTAATTTTTTTATTTAAGAAGATCAATGTTTAAAAATAAAAAAATTAAAAATTTTAAATTTAATTAATATAAATTAATTAAATTAAATTTTAATTCATTTAGGATCAATTTTTTTTAACTAATTAAAGTCCAAAAAGCAGACTCCATTTAGTTCCCCTTATTAATCCTGGCGTTGAATAACATACGAAATTTCCCGATCTCAAACCCCACGGGAAATCCGTGAATATGAAATAGCTAATCAACCCAAAAACAGGCAGTCTTTCACTCTTCTCAAAGTTAGAAAAAAGAACAAAAACATTGGGCAGTCCTAGTACCCAACAGCTTAACCAAAGGCTGCAAAAGTTTGGTCCTTTCATTGAAACCGAAACAGTTACAGACTCAGAAAAAGGGAAGAGCAGGCTGATTATTAGTAAGTAGATTGGATGAAACGAAACACTGAACAAAAAAAACAGTGGGTATTTATTTTAACATAGCGGGAGTCAAGGTGAAAACAAGAACACAGATTAAGGAGGGAAGCTGGTGTACTAGGACTGAGACAACAACAGCATAGCTGTAATGTCAGTGCAATTAATATTGTTCCCGTTTCCTTGTTTGGAGAGAGATAGAGCCCACATGTACCTTAACAGGGACAACACCAATAGCAGCAAATTACAAAAAAAACTCTTATTTCCGACAGCTTCAACTCTCCACTAAGCTATCTGCTCTTTACTTGACTTTCCCCAACATCAAACATGTTGCGTTTCTTCCCCACATATTCTCCTGTCTTGCTCTCCTACACAGATGTCTCAAACTTTGTATTTGAAGCCCATTTTTTAATATTTAGGTTTACATATTTAAACATTGTAGTTATGGGATTGATTAGTGTTAATCAACAAATTATGTGGGAAATTTTATTATTTTTAAAAGAATTATTGTGGGTTTTTTAAAAGGTGTTTAAACGTCCCATCCACGGGCCTTTGGTCATCAGAAGTCTGAATTATGTCTGCAACACTGCAATAAAACTGGCAACGATTGTGTGCTTTCACTGCCATGTTAATAACCACTCTAAACTTTAATTTGTTCTTTGTTCCCCCCTCCCCTTCGAAATTTGTTTTACTTTTTTTTTTTTTCAGTGCCATTAAAAGCCATCATCAATTAAAGATCATGAAGAAAATGAGGTGAAGTCATGGAGAAGATGATGCCCTAAGAAGTAAAAAGATAAAAAAGAAATTGAAGAAAAGATAAAGAGAAAAAGGGCCTGCAACACAAAGGCTGTATGTAATGAAGCTTGATGAATTATAACCACTAAAGACAAAGAAAGATGAGACTTGAGAGAGAACAAAAAAAAGGGAAAAGAGAGATTATTAATGGTGGATGTGTAATTAATCAAGTTAAGATAAAGAAAATTTGAAAATTCCCTCATCATTTTGGCATATCTAAAGCTCATTTGCAACTTCTTTTCACGGTGATTTTGAGGATTTTTCAGCTAGTAGAAATATCTAGAGTTTGCAAAATGTAGGTTGAAAGAAATTAATGCGAGTGAGAGAGAGGGAGACGAAAGAAGAGAGAAAGAAAGGAGACAGATGTAAACAGACCCAGAAAATACTGCAACTTTGCATGCCGAACACGTTTTAATTCAACTTGGAATTACTCCCCACCTTTGAAGATGAATGATCATGATGATGATCATATGATGCCAACTAACAAAACCCTTAGTTCATCAGTTTTTTTTTTTTTTCTTTTCCTTGATCTCTCCCAACAGCAAGCAATTTAAAGTAGCAGCAGACAGAAACTGAAAGTGCAATTTTGATCACAGAGAATATACAATTGGAAATAAGTGTAAGAGATGAAAACATGGATTAGAATACTAATGAACTTAAAACCCTTCAAATCAAAAAGAAAACTACAGTTAGAGAGAAGGTGATTAATTTGAGCAATGGCCCATTAGCAACAATGTCCTGATCAGAAACATCAGGTCATATTATCATCATCCTTCACTGATCGAGCACTGACAATAACAACACAAACTAGATAAAAATCAAAATCAGATTGAGAAAAGAAAGAGAAAAAAAAGGTGAGAACCCTAGTTCAATATTCCCTAATAAATTCACAACAAGGATTTTCTTCATTTTCCCATTATCACATGTCCCAGTTGCCCTTCTTCCTCTCAAGTAACAATAAAGAAGCTTTTTTTTTCCTTCTTTTTTTGGTTAAAAATTTAGGGTTTCTTACCAAGAGTGTGCTTGTTGTTGTGCATCCAGACCTTAAGCACATGCCTTTTCACACCAGTTTCTTCACAAAATTGCTCCACAGCAGCTTCATCATGCTTTTGAATCCTCCACCCTAGCCTTTCAGCGAAATCCAGCATCTTATCTTTCTGTTCGGGCGTAAATTTTGTTCTAAACCTCTTCTTTAATCCTCCACCGCCACTGCTACTAGGATTCGAAACGTCTTCATCTTCTCTGCCGTAACCACCAGCGATACCACCCCCAGACGCTGCTGGTAAGGCCAAAGGCCTGTGCTGTGGAGGTGGCGTCAGGTGAAGGTACCCGGCTGGTGGCGCCGCCCTAATATAGTGCGAAAATTGGGGGTGGTGCTGGTGGTGGTGGGGATTATAAATATTGCCTTCCCCGTCAGCTTCCTTACGGTGAAAGTTTCTGTGGCAGTTACACGCGGCACATTTCAAAGCGTCAAGGGTCCCTTCATCACCTGCAGCCATGAACTCGCCGCAGCCATCCACCGCGTGGCCTCCACTACTCACGGCATGGTTCTTGAGACACTCACAGTACCTTATCGTTGATCCCACTTTTCTTGGTGCTACTGACGCCGCACCTTCACCGCCGCTGACGTGTCCCATTTTTGACCAAGCTGCTGATGAGTTGCCCAGTGAGTCGTAACCTATTGGAACAGCCATACCCATTTCTTCTTCATCTTCATGTTCATCAAAATCCATTTCTCTTTTTTACTTTCTTCAACTGCCCTCACTTCTTTTCCCCGGTCTTGTTTGTTGATAAGAAAGATCTACATGGCCGGGTTAATTCAGCAGATCCAGCATCAATAATTAACAGAAGTGAGTTTAAACTTTAAATAAATAAAACAAAGGATTTGAGAGTAAATTTCTTGGGTTTAGCAGAGAAGAGAAGATAAGAGAAAGAAAGAGGTGTGGTCATGAATACCCTCGCCTGCCAAAAAAATGTCTTACTCGAAAGGCTTTCATGTGCTTTCCATTTTGTGAAACAAAATAAGCATAATAATTTAGATTTACATTTAATTCACAGTATATGTTTACATATACAGTTAGTACATCACAAGTCAGTACTTTAAAAATTAAATATCATAAACTACAACATTAAAATTTATTTTTAATGATTCTAAAATTTTAAATTTATTTATAGATAATATGGTAATTTATAATTTATTAATACTTTATATTTATATATATATGGTGCATCAAACATAAACCTTAACAATATTTATTTTCTTTCCCTGGCATAATTATTGGGATTTTATTTAGATTGTGTTTGGTGTGGGATGATTACTTCAAAAATTATGATGAATTACACATAATAATTAAATTACTATGTTTGGTACGTCCTAGATGATTCTATGTGGAGATGATCTTAGATTATAAAAAATGATATATTACTGCCTTGTAGAAAAATCTAATTCTCATATAAAATGATAGAAAATTTTTATCACTAAAATGAAGTAATATGTAAAATTAATCATATTTAATATTACCCATTTAATATGTAAATTAAAAACTTGCTTCCTTTTAAAATTGTAATTATTTTATATTATAATTTTTTATATTTTCAAACTAATATTCATTGTAACAAATGCAAAAATAATTTGTATGTTTTTTATTTTTTTTAAATATTTTATATATAATTTAAATTTTTTATTTTTCTTTTATTATAAATTTAATAGATTAAATTTATTTTATAATTTAAATTTTTTATTTTTCTTTTATTATAAATTTAATAGATTAAATTTATTTTATAATTTAAATTTTTTATTTTTCTTTTATTATAAATTTAATAGATTAAATTTATTTTATAATTTAAATTTTTTTACATATTTTATATTATAAAAATTAATTTACCTATCAATAAATATATTTATTAATTATTGATTTAGTTATATTTTATGATAAAATAAATAAAATATTACTAATATTTTACAAATTATTATTTTTAAATAATATTAAAATTATTACAATATGCATGATCATTTTTGTACTTTTAAACAAAATAATATTTGATTTTTGGTAATACCATGTACAATGATTTTTAATTCTTAAGAATTAATAATTGTTAACAAAAAAATTTTATTGATAAAATCAACTTGATAATAAGATCACTTCATTTATTACATTACCATAATGATCTTATAAAAGATACAAATGCTACCTTATACATTTTTTTTTTTTTTGTGAATTTGAAATTTCACCTCTTGGTAATTGTCTTTTTCCTGTTTATCTTTTTTTTTTTTTTTTTAAGTTTTTAGCTGTCCTAGCCAGACCTGAAACTATTGTCTCCTTCATTTTTATATTTTTGTAAGAGATGCGAGGGTGGTAAAAGTAAAAAAAAGTCTGGGAAATACTACTTATCAGAACAAATGGTAAAAGCAATGGAAACCAGTCAGAGGTGTAGGGTGGACATAGCAGCGTTTTGGGTGCGTTTGACGCAAAGGGTTGAAAGGGTGAGGTGGTTTTTGGAAATATGGGACAACATTTTCTTCGTCATATCTTATTGGCTCCCCTTTTCCTAGAGAATGAATCAAAGTAAAAGAAACTCTTTCCACTACTTGAACAAAACTCCACACACAAAAAAAAAAAAAAAATGTAAATTTATTCAACTCTTTTCACCCAATGCATGCTCACGATTAGACATTATTTAATTAAGTCTTTTTTTTTATATAAATTTGTTATTTTATATAGTATGATACCCAAATGGATTTTGATTTATATCCCATCGATCTTTAAACATGTTTATACATCATATTAAACATATGATTTTTATTCATATAATTGGTGACAAAAACTTATTATATGAATTTCAAATTAATAATTTAATGGTATATGCGTTTGAGACTTTGTGACATGAGGAAAACAAAATTTTATTGATGGGCATTAATGACAGTTGCCTACGTGCCCCCCATCTCCGACAGTAATACGTGACATAATAATTTACACGATCTGTTTTTTATTCCAAGAGTTGATACGGTGAGTCCATCATTCCATAGTACTAATATTGCACTCAAACTCTCTAATAACTAAAGTCTTCACTCTCTCCCTACTTATCTTAGGACAGCAATTTGTCAATTTAAAGCCGGAGGGTTGGGTTGAGACGACATTCTACTCTATGCAACGGACACGGAGGTCGATCTGCAGTTCTTTCAGCCCTTGGTTAAGTCCAATAACCTAGAATATTAGAGAGATGGGTTTTTCAATCACTGCTCACGAATGTCAAAATAGTTTATATTTAATGTATTATTAATATAAATTTTATATATTTTAATAAATTAGATGATAATATTATTAAAAAATTTTATTTGTTAATAAGATGATATCATTTAATTTAACCCATTAATAAGATAATATTTATATGATTTATTGATAATGTATAAAATTTATATGTTAATAATGCATTAAATACAAACTCTTAATAAAATACATATATATGTATAGCAGCGAGAGAATAATAAATTATTAATCCAATTTTCATATAAAAGAAGTAGTAATCTGAAATAATTTGCTAGTAATGGGATTGAATCTCAATTTTGCAAAAATTATCTTTTAAAAATTTCTTATGTAAATATCTGACATTGTTATATATTTAAACTACGTATGAATTAATCTTGAATATATTTCAAATTTCAAATCATAAAAGCAATGATAAAACGTGGAGAATATCAAATGTGAAACCAACCATATTGTGCTTATTTGTAATAATTAATAATAGGCAGAGACATTAGCGCTGACAATTGGTAAAGTTTTTGGGTCATAGTTTGCCATACATTCAAAGTGCATGCATATCAAATGAAAACCAAAATAATATTAATGTAGGGATAGAAAATGTTGATTATTTCTTATTTGAGAGTGAAGGAGAGTAAGATGAAACAGTCCAAAGGAAAAAAAAAAAACAATAATTAAAGAGAAGAAAAATGGTTCTGCTCACTGGAGTACAAGGATGATGATAATACAAATGGTTTTATTTTTGAATGGGGAGTGATAAAAATGGTACCACAACATCCGCATAAGTCGACGCAAATCACAGCAGGTGGCAGCGTGTGTGTCATGTGATACCATCCATCATCCATCATCATCCCCACCCCTAAGGTCTTTTTTTTTTTTTTCTTCTTCGTCTTTGGTTTGCCAATCCCGGTATATATCTGACGTGACTCGCTCTCTCTCTCTCAGCCTACTCCTATCACTTTCATGTCAGCTGGCGGGAAGCCAACCCACTCCATCTCGGACAGAGTCATACGTTTCTCTTTTCCTAATTTACGACTTTTGCTTCACAACCAACTAATTTTACTACTTTAAATTTAAAAAAGGTAAATGTTGTTAATAATTTTTAAATTATAGTTAAATATTTAATATAATATTTAAAATTAAAAATTTTAATATGTTATTTGAATTTTAAATATGTTAATTTATATAATATTTAAAAAATTATGTAATATTTATTATTTATTTAAAATTAATTATATTAAAAATAAATATTATATTAATTAATAAATTTATAATTTAAATATTAAATTAAAATTTTGTAAAATTCAATTATTATATTAAATATTTTACTATATTTCAAACTTATTCATCAGATTATCTATTTTAAAACTGGCACTTAGACTAGTTTTCTTTCAGTAAAAATAAATAGTTTCAGACAAACAATAAGAAAATATTTTCGTTATCCGATAAGAAGTGACGATGAGTTCATACTCGTACCGTACAATTTTGGGGCCGTACTTGTAATACTTTTCCGTTCCGTTTTCAGAATAATTAATTGTTTGACAGCTGTCAATTACGGAAGATTCTTTTTAAACAATCAATCTTTAGTTAGTTAGTGTGTGAGTTGAATGGGAGAGAATCGAGGGGAAAAAGCAAACAGGAATTGCTATAAGACGAGAGGAGGAAAGGAAGGAGAGGTCTGACCTTGATTTCCCATTTCCATGTTTTTTGGCAGCTTTTTTATTTTACCACGCTTTAAGATTTTATTTGAATACTAAGTGAGATTAATTTTGATGATATTAAAAAAATAATTATTATTATTTTAAATAAATATTATAATTATAATTTAAAATTTTATATTAAATAAATTTTATTAAAATTAATATTTAAATTTTACTGATAATATAATAAATTTAATCATATCATATTAAAAATATGATAAAATTCAAACTTAGGTTATTATTATTTTTAACAAATATTATAATTATGATTTAAAAGAATTTTAATAAAAAATTTATATTAAATGAATCTTATTGAATTTAATATTTAAATTTAAATGATAATACAATCAATTTAATATTTAAATCATATTACATGAAAAATACAATAAAATTTAAACTTGGGTTAAATTAAACAAAAGAACCCTTCGGCCTCAGTTCCCTTCACTTGTACAAAGATTGCTATCCCCTAACAAAACCACAGATCATAGGCCCTTGGCTTGGCTAATCATTTTTTTCTCTTCTTTTTGAGATGTCTTTAACTTATTTCACCACTTCAAATCAAGATTTCACCGACTCTCTCACTCTCCAATTTTTCTTCTTCAAACATGATGATAAATCAGATTGGTTTGGGGTACAAATCAAAATTTTGCATTAATTATTGACTCAGTGTTTTCATGTCATTTGACAATGTGAAAATCCTGTCTTTAGAGCTTCGGCTCTGACAATATATATATCTAACCACTAATCACCACCCATCGGGCCATTAGTGCCACCATCTGCATCTGCA